TAGGGAAATTCAGAAATGCCCAGAAAGCCCTTGAGTACCTTCCAGCAGCCTGCCCAGAGGTCCCACCAGCGCCCCCAGCTTATCTACTGGAGGTCTCTTTGGTGACTCTGGCCACTGCTGCTCAAGCGCCGCATGGGCTCAGCAGGGAGTTTCACAAGCTCTCCCACAGCTTGTGAAAGGGATGCCTAGAATGATCATTGAGCCTGATATAATCAACCTGCCACTCATTAGAGGAAAGGAAAAGGGCTACTGCAAGAAATTGCCATCCTAAGGAGGGTCAGACCAGTGTGGGACCGGTAACAGCAGTAACAGAGGACATGAGAGTGGAGAAACCACGCTACCACAGCTGGGAGGACACTGAGATTTTCCACTCTTCCCATCTCCCTTCCGTGGCCAAAGCAGAAACCACAATACCACCTTCTGGTTATCTCCATTACTGCATCACCCTCTGCTCCCATCCTGCCTTAAATTAAGGACAAACGTGCCATTGCAGCACCCTGATCACGAAGGCCTACGGTCACAAGGAGTCTTTCAAACCCTTCAAAACCAGCAAATTAAAGCAGGGGGAGCATTTCAGCTCCTTTCCATTGCTTCAGTCCATGATTTATTAGAGCAATTAAGTGCCTTGGTGCACAATCCACATTGCCTGTTGTGACCGAATGATTTACCACCCTTACAAGAGAGTGCAGCGTGTAAGGTTAAATTAGAAGTGTGAAAAGAATAAGCAATTTACAACTTAGAGCGCTTGCAAACATGTTGGGGAAGGCTCCGAGGGCTTTGCAGGCTGCCCCTGCCATTTGCTGCCAGCGCTAGAGACAAATTCTCTAGTTTTCAGCTCTGCCTTCCCGGCCTCCCTGGAGAACTGCCCTCTCGCAGGCAACATCTCTTGAGGGGCACCTCAGAGCCCAGCTCTCGTCCACGCTGCCCGGCCCACAGGAGCATCCTCAGGGACACCTCAAGGTCAGCCCAGCTGCTTCAGCAGTGCCAGGAGCGAGGTGGGCGCCGCTCCCGAGTGTCTCAGCAGCTCCAGTGGGATGGATGACCTCAGCACGAGCATTTGGCCCCACACAGACCCCTTTACCACCAGGCAGGTCTCTTCCTCCCCCTCCAGTCCAGCTGGGCACCGCCAGGTTTCTCCTCTGCTTCCACTTCCAGGGCGCTCACAGCGTTTTGTGTCGGGAGGCATTGACAGACAGATCAGTGGTCTGAGGATCGGCAGAGCAGACCTGTGCCCCTCAGGTTTTACTACAGGCACGACTTATTTGAGACCTAAATAAAAGCTGCTTTGTCTTTCAGACTGCTGTCAAGA